GTTAAATAAATCATTGAAATTTTGTGCAATTAGTCATGGGAAAAAATGTACTGAATAGAATATCGTCTATAGCAGCAGTGGCCAACTGTTTAGTATTTGAAAAAGTCTTTCAGCATGAATTAAAAAAAATAAAACTACAGATCGAAGGATCCCAATTTTACACACCACTGTTAGAAACATGTAAGCAATACTCCTAGTATTACACTGCAAAGAATATACTGACAGGGCAATAGGATGAGTGCACACACTCTTACAGGATTTTAATCAAGACAATTTATCTTCATTACAGACTCAAAATATTTGAGCAACCACCATTGCTTCTTTAAAAAAAAAATTATTTTATATAGACAGAACAGACTGTTTGATATTGGTAGAAGCTGTGTGTGTGTCAATGTGCTGATGATTTATTTGAAAAGAAATACAAGCATCAGTGCATTTAATTACATTTCTGGGATTTTGCCTTCATCCGAGACGTTTGCCGCTGGATGTAGAACAAACTACTGTGATATATTTTGTTATATTGTTTTTTTCCTCTGATACAGTATTGGATTTCACTACAAACACAAATAAAAGTGACCTTCCACACACAAAAATCAGTTTAATTGCAGTTATTAGATTTAAAATTCACAACTTTTTGAAATGTATATATATATATATAAAACAACTTGCATGATTACAATCACTTTATACAATGCAAAAAAAGTGTAAATTACAAATATGAACAGATATGTCATCGTTTGTCAAGTATATCTGTTCTTCAAAGGCTTTTTTCTTCCCAAAGACAAAACAAAACAATCCCAGAATACCGTCATGTATTACATTATATACTTCGTCCACACAGACGAACAAGGTTGCACTCATTCTGCTGGCTGTTCAGAAATGGATCGCCTCTGTTGTATGATACAGTTGCGTCTGTCAAACGTGTGACTGTAAATGAGTCTCGTGTTTTTGGAGGAAGGAACATGCAGAATGGGCTATTCTATGCAACAGGTTTAACATTTCATTAAAAGCAGCACTCTAAATCAACACTGAATCCACTACGTTTTCTAAAAATTCTCAACGTTTGTAACATTTTTGCTGGTTCTATATAAAACATTCGCGCCTCAGTTTCATATGGCACTTTGTACACTCCAACATATGTATACAGCAAGTTTCACAAATATATAACTTCATATTCTATATGCATGAGAGAAATGAAAGTCACGTCAGTCTGAAGCAAGTTTCCACACGAGACGACGAGCTCGGGACAATCATTACAAGAGTACTGGCCAGCTTCACTCGCAGTAAGATGTCAAGCAAACCCTGCGTACTCTAAAGCATTAAAAAGCATACAGAAGTACGTGCCTGTCTGTTAATGTGATTTTTACAAATTCATACTAAGGACACTCAAATAATATGATTTTATAAAAACAAAACAAACAGGCTTTTATAACAGTTTCACAAAAAAAAAAAAAAAAGTGGGGGAAAAACTATATAATTGAAATATTATCTGGAGAATATCTACTTTGTATTGGGTATCAGACAAACATATTTTCAACCCACTATTAATTCGTTTCATTTCATTTCCAACCCGTCTTTACAAAACAGAATAAACTGGAAATGGTGTCAAATTGGGTAAACACTCATTGTTTTGTTTTTTTATTTTATTCTCCGAATTTTCCTCTGGACCCCAGTTTGGAAACTTTGGTCTAACGGTCAAGATGATATTTGATGTTGTGAAAAACTAAAGGAGAACAATCTGGAAGGTTTTTACACCACGTCTCTAACCCGAAAAATCAAAAAATGATTGTCTTCAATACCCGTCTATGCATGTTTGAACATGTTACAGGCTTGATGTCACACACGTCTGAAACTACGACTGTAAATGCATTATTTTGCATTTTAATATTTTAATTTTTTCCCCCATTATCAGCATAATTTGAAACGCTGAAGCAACGTAAAACTTGATCATCCATGCTATCCCAGCAAAGAGCATGCTGTGTGCTTTAATGCAAGAAAATCTGACCTTTTGCACATAGTTGCCATACTTTTAATTTGTTTTGCTTATGCAATTACTGACCTAGAAATTGTGCAGAATCAGATACTTTATGCAATACATTTTTTTTTTTTAAAACCCCAAAAGTATTTCCAGGTTCGAGTTAGATTTTCAGTCTGGACTCAGACTTTTGGACCCCACTCTATATATAATTGCATTTTACATGTGTAATAAATATTCCATAATTAGAAAAAATTTAAATAATAATAATGTCCCTTTCAAAACGGTTTAAGGTTTCCACTTAAATCTACTGTTCATGGTAACAAGAGTTTCCACCAGTGCTTCATCCACTGTCTGAAGATGATCTTATATGCATTTACAACAACAATAGTGCTAGGAATAAGTAAAAAAAAAAAATCATAATATTTTCCTGCTTTCTGACATTTTATCATAAATTGTTGTTGTTCCCGGTGTCCTGACATTATTGATTATTTGAACCTAGATTTGTACTGTTTTACTCTTAGTATTAATATATATATATATAATACTAAGAGTAAAACACAGTACAAATCTAGGTTCAAATAATCAAGAGAATTTTTCCACAAAAGCTTCTTTATAAAATGAAAACAAGAAAAATACTGCTACCATTGGAGTTATAAAAAATGCTTTCGTTTGAGAAAAAAAAAAAAAAAAAGTATAATTTCTCCCTTTAGGACAGCATGCTGATTCTGTACAGCATGTTTTTTAGCTGCCGAATAAAACGGAGGAATGCCGCTGCTTCCCTTTATGAATTTGCCTGGTTTGTAAGAGATCAGATTGACACACAAGTGCTGCCGCAGGCGCCCTGAGAGCCGAGGACCTGGGATTGAGAGCGAGAGCGTGAGCGTCAGACAAGGAGGCGCAGAGGAAACGACAACGCAGCTCCCAACGACAAACCCAGAGCCAGAAAAAACGTCATCAACGCACCGGCCGTCTCGCCATCTTTAGGCTCCACAAGCCTAGAAAGAGAGGAGAGGAAATAAACATCAGCGTGTGACATTTATGAAGTGTGCAGTGTGTTCTTAAAGGAATAGTTCACCTGAAAATGAGAATCTACATATTGGTGCCCTGAGTTTTTGTTTTGTTTTTTATCATCTGAACAGATTTGGAGAAATGTAGCATTGCATCAGTGTCTCAGCAATGGATGCACTGCAGTGAATGGGTGCCGTCAGAATGAGCGTCTGATAAAAACATCACAAGTAATCCACACCACTCCAGTGCATCAGTTAATGTCTAGAGAAGAGAAAAACTGTGTGTTTGTAAGAAACAAATCCATCAAGACGTTTTTAACTTCAAACCGTCACTTCTGGCTAAAATACGAGTCCATCCATGATATATTTTTCTCCAGTGAATATATGTCATCTGGTCTGAATCAGGAGAGAAATCGGCACAAATCACAAGTTTACAAGCCAACGCAGCTCTAAACAAATATATGGCTGGATTCTGATGTGAGAGACAACAGGAGATGGACTTTTTCACTGCAAGAAACATTATATGGACTCAAATTTTAGCCAGAAGCAAAAGTGTGAAGTTAAAAATACCTTGATGGATTTATTTCTTACAAACATGCAATTTTTGCTTCATAAGTCATTAACTGGACTGACGGCACCCATTCACATCCATTGATGAGCAAGTGATGCAATGCTACATTTCTCCAAATCTGATGAAGAAACAAACTCATCTACATCTTGGATGGCCTGAGGGTGAGTACATTTTCAGCAAATTTTCATTTTGGGGTGAATTTGGGTGATCATGTGACAATAATATTTCACAATATTACAGTTTTTACTGTATTTTTGATCAAATAAATGCAGTCTCGGTGAGCCCATTTGTACACAATGTGTGTGAAGTGTGTACTCACTGTGGCGCGTACGTCATGGACAGACACACAAAGTATCCGCTGGACACGGAGAAAAACACCATGATTGTGGCAAACACGAAGTCGTTTGAGAAGAGCACAGGCATGTAGTGTCTCTCCTGCACGTTACACATCATGAGCAGCGGAACGAAGATCACTCGACAAACCACTAACCCCGGGAACAAACGACTGTCTTTAGAGGGCTGCGGGAGACACAGAATGCACAGAAGAAATTACATACTCTATGAAAGCTCCACCAAACAGAAACAATCACAACAATATAAAACAATCCAAAAAAAATGAAACATTCTCACAGGCGGAGGAAAAATGTCATGAATGCTCGTTTATCCTCTTTTTCCTTCATTCAATAACAGAAATGTAATATTCAAGTGACTTAAAAATATATATTTACAGAAACAGATTATTGATACATTTTTGAGGATTCTTTGATAAATAGAAAGTTCAAAAGATCACACTCACCCACTTAAATGCTAACGTGACAGATCTGCCAGTAAAGTCCATCACGTTAAAAAAGAGAAAACAAAAAACAGGAATGAAGTATCGTTCTGAGAGAAAGAGAAAGAGAGACAAAACTGTGATGCACATCCTTATACATACAACAGTGAAGCATCGAGCAAGAGCTCAAAGCGTGACCGTGCAAGGTTTTGAAAACGCTACTTTGAGTGCTATTCTTTAGAGATCCACCAGATGACTGTCATTTATCGTTTGATCAGGTTACAAAACCTATAAAAAGTCAAATGAAGTCGAAATCTGTCATGACATTATTTAATCGATCAATCTCTATTTTTTGGGTTTTTGCCAGACTGCAGCGGTCACTCCCTCCAGTGCGAGTACAGTTCTGAAAGTGATGAATCTGCGCTGGTTTTGTTAATCATTTAGCATAACGACTAAGAAGCGTGAGATGAATTTTGCAGTGATGTGCATTAAACTCTACAGGCAAAACTATTGTTTTTTTTTCATGCATTAGTTAGTTTGGAGAGTTTGTTTCCATAACATGTCTTTTTTTCAGATTAAGAACATCCAAAATACACATTTAAGTGTTTATTTTATTACACTTCATATTTTACGTCTGTAGATTTCAATTACAATTCATATCTTTAAAGGCCGTGAGTTTTATTTCCACTTCAGTAGTGCTTACATACACCAAACATTACAGTTTTATTCCTATCTATACACTGAGGGGTTTGTTCATATATTGTTTACCTGAAATACAACATTTTATTACTAAAAACATGGTGCAAATTGTTTTTGTTTTTCTAAACGTTGACAGTATTTTCTGAATTATGGAGTGATAAAAAGAGAAATCCAAAATGCCCTCTGTACAAAACTTCGTCAACTAAATCAAATAAGAATTTTGGCTGTATCCAATGTTCAGAATTTTTTTTTTTTCTGAAAATGTACGCAAAGTAGTACATATTTAATTACATAATGCAGCAATTTAATTTTTAATCAAGCCTTCATAAAACTTGTAATACAAAACAATCATCTTAACGCACCGTGATTAATCAACTGGGAAAAGCATGATGATATCTGTTATTAATTCACCTGTTGTGTCTTGCTTTAAACTCTCATTCTCAGATAAAACATTATACAAAAAAAAAAAAACTATTAGCACTAAAGCTAAACAATAACTTAAAAACCCTAATTCATCTACCATTTATTTTAGGTATAATTAATGGTTATGGTGGGATCAGGGATAGTCAATTAAAAATATTTTCTTTTAGGGTCGAATGCTGAAACGTTAATTCATGCATTCATGACTTCAAGGTTAGATTATTGTAATGCTTTATTGGGTGGTTGTTCTGCACACTTAACCTCCAGCTGGTCCAAAATGCAGCAGCTAGAGTTCTTACTAGAACCAGGAAGTATGACCATATTAGCCCGGTTCTGTCAACACTGCACTGGCTCCCTATTAAACATCGTATAGATTTTAAAATCTTGCTAATTACTTCTGAAGCCCTGAATGGTTTAGCTCCTCAGTACTTGAGCGAGCTCATATCACATTATAGTCCTTCACGTCCGCTGCGATCTCAAAACTCTGGCCATATGTGACCCTGGAGCACAAAACCAGTCTGAAGTCGCTGGGGGATATTTGTAGCAATAGCCAAAAATACATTGTATGGGTCAACATTATTGATTTTTCTTTTATGTCAAAAATCATTAGGATATTAAGTAAAGATCATGTTCCATTAAGATATTTTGTAATTTTCTTACTGTAAATCTCAAAACTTAATTTTTGATTAGTAATATGCATTGCTAAGGACTTCATTTGGTCAACTTTAAAGATGATTTTCTCAATATTTCGATTTTTTTTGCACCCTCAGATTCCAGATTTTCAAATAGTTGTATCTCGACCAAATATTGTCTCGATCCTAACAAACTACACATCAGTGGAAAGCTTATTTATTCAGCTTTCAGATGATGCATAAATCTCAATTTCGAAAGATTTTACCCTTATGACTGGTTTTGTGCTCCAGGGTTACATTTAATAATACCTAGAATATCAAAATAAAATGCGGGCACCAGATCCTTTTCCTATTTAGCGCCCAAACTCCGGAACAATCTACCTAGCATTGTTCGGGAGGCAGACACACTCTTGTCAGTTTAAATCTAGATTAAAGACCCATCTTTTTAACTTGGCTTACACATAACACACTATCACATTTCTATAATTCAAATCCGTTAAAGGATTGTTAGGCTGCATTAATTAGGTCAACCGGAACTGGGAACACTTCCCATAACACCCGATGTACTTGCTACATTGTAAGAAGAATGGCATCTACGCTAATATATGCCTGATTTCTATTGTCCTCCAACATTATCGCCACACTATGTTTGATGCTGTAAAGCTGCTTTGACACAACCAGTATTGTATAAAGCGCTATATAAATAAAGGTGACTTGACTTTGATTGGTAAAATATAACGGCACCTTTTTGAAGACTTCCAGGATGGAGCTCTTCTGCGTGGACGTGTTTTCTGACTGCAGCGGGATGAAGGCCTGTCTGACACCCTCCTCTTCACTCACACCGCTATCACCTTTATTAGGATTCCCGTTCGGCACGGAGCCAACAGACAGATCGCTGGTCATTTCCGAGACTTCAACATCAACTGGAGGAACAGAGTCACCGTCAAATAAAATAAGTGCGCTTAATTGCATTGAATGTGCACTTGTAGTGTATTTCAAATCATACAAGTATATTTAAACAAAAAAACAAAAAAACATATAATATAAAACAACAATGAAATAAAAAAGGACACTTCAGTGACTTAAAGAGAGACATTTTCATGACTGTATGACTGTTTTAAGTACACTTTTAAACACTTAACAATAACGTTTAATTAAAGGTTTTTTATATCATCATGTTTTAATAATCTTTTATGTATTAAAGTACACTTATTTTCATGTGTTGACTAACATACTAAAGCACATGTAAAGTACTTGATTATCATTTTAACCGTAGTTGGTTATTCAATATTATATATTTTTTTATATTCTTATAAGTTAATATACCATCAACATCAGTTGATCAGTAAAGTTTTCCTTTTTTTTAGTTTTTTTTTTAAGAAGTCTCTTTTGCTCACCAGGGCTGGATTTATTTGATCAAAGATACAGTAAAAACAGTAAAACTGTGAAATATTATTACAATTTAAAGGGGTCCTATTATGCTTTTTCACTTTTTTAATTTTAGTCAGTGTGTATGTTTGGGCATTAAAAAGATCTAGAAAGTTACAAAACTCAAAGTCCACTCCAAAGGGAGATATTTAGTTTTTAAAAAAATCCATTTTCAAGAACTACAGCAAACGGCTCGTTTGGACTACAGCGTTTGGTTTCCGGGCTTTGTGATATCACAAAGCGGCTCATTAGAATTTCATTACAAAGAATTCCCGCCTACAGAAATGTGAATGGTTGGGGGGTGGGGAGGGGCGAGGTCG